GCAGTGGGTGGAGTCACGCACCCGGAACAGGGAAGGCGGGAAGGCAGATGTGGGTAGAGTCACGTACCCGGTTCTTATCCAGAGTGTTTCAGGCGCCCAACCGCAGCAGATATCCTGCTGTTGGGCATCTGTCCCGCCTTGCCTCTGACCCTGCACTGCTCCAGTCCTGTAAAATAGTGTTGACAGCATTATGCTAGGGCTTTATTCTTTCAAAGCCAACAAGGTGATTTTCTCAACCAGTTTCTCTCTCCTGGCAGGCAGCAATTTGTGGTTATAAAGAAAGACATCTTAAAAAGTAATCTTATAAAAATCTTTCTACCAATTTCATTTCAAATCCTCAAGGTTCATACCTGCTCATTAACCATTTTTGTTAAATCATGTCAGGAAGCTGAGGGCAAAGGTGGGTACGAGAGAACCACCTTGAGGCTTAGCTTCAGCGAGAGTCACATCAACTATTGTTAACTGGGGCATTGTTCTTGCTCCCCTGACCTCAGAAAGTCTCCAGCTCAACTATTAAAGGTGTACTTTTCCGAACTTCAAATTGTTCCCTAAGATTTTCTATATTAGGGCCAGTGACAAAAACACCTTTACCTAACCTAAGTCAATCTATTTTTTCCAAATTCTTTCTAAGGGAGGTGGTCATTGCTAACAATCTACATCTCAAGTTTTTTCCAAGGGTGCTGACCGAATCATTATTCTCCAGCAGCAATGCCTGAAAGACATCAAGCTCTGTTACTGTGAGTGCCTGTGGTACCGCCCAGTGAGGGGCTGGAAGCCCCTTACAGTTTTCGTACAACTCATATATTAGGAGGGATGTAAAAGACCACAAGGGCAGCAGACAGAGCAAAGCCCCATAACAGCATGAAGTCCTCAGGTGCGGAGACCTCAGGACATAGTAGTCCCGGGCTCGGCCTCCTACCCATCTCCCACCCCGAGGGAGTGCTAGCTGGTGGGCCACATTCCAGGAGTTTTAAAGCTCTTTTGCTTTTCCTCCTGCACACCAACAGCATGGCAGACGGCCATGTCCAGATTCGGGATGCACTGACCAGATTGGGTTCTACATCTATGTTCTGACATCCAACAAGAATAAACATATAAATTGAATGTAAATGTTTGTCACAGGTGGTGCGAAGTCTAAGAACAATTCAGGGAACAAAATGCTCTTCAGGTAGAAGGCCCTTTGCCTTTTTTTGTCCTAGAGCCTCTCTCACAGTTCCCCAAGGCATTGTTTACCACGGGGCCTTCTTCTGACAGCTGAGAGTCAGCTCCGTTTCATGTCTCTGGAAGATAAAGACTTAAAACATTCAGAGCAACTGTCCAGAGAGAGAACCGCCTCTCTGTTATCGGAAATGCTAAGTAATTAGGATATTCCAGATTCAACCTGAAATGTGGGTGTGTGTGGGTCTCCCTCCCCTAGGGGATTGTTGGCCACCAGTCCTTGAAGACAAAGGGAACTGAAGGGTGAGCAGGGTCTATACAGCATGAATTCGGTGGAGTAACTTCGGGGGGGGGGGAGCTTCAGGGAGACATCTTTAACTTTATTCAAGAGAAATGAAGAGAATATATGGGATGGGGTGGTATTTGGGGGTGTCATCTAATAGGTTCCTACAGTATGTCCTGTCACATGAACGTAAGCTCAGCGCCTAATTATCCTACGGGCAGCAAGGGGAGAACATTTGCAGGGGACTATGTCAAAGGTTATGGTTAGGCATTGAGAGACCAAAAGATTAAAAATCAGCCGTTATTATTAGTTTAAGGCCTGAACTAGCTGGGTGAGGTCCAGTAATGCCCTGAGGGGAAGAACCTGCCTTACTGCATTCTTTCCCCATCCACTAGAGATTCAGTTGCTAGGAAACTGGCCCATTCCCCTAGGGAGGGACAGCAGGTCATTAATGGTCTGGGGACCTTCCTATAGCCAATCAATTAAAAAATGTAGCATTTTGACCAATAGATACTTGCCAGGCAGGAATCGCCCCTGCCTTGGGCATGCTGGGAGGGACCAGAATCTTTAAGTCACCCAACTAACCTGAGCACAGGGCTCTTGGCTCTCATGTGGTTTGCAACGGACTCGGCTCCTGGTGGTGGTCTTTTGGGGTATCACAATTCCGGCACAACAGCATCTGCTGTGGAAGGTTTGGTTGTGTAGTGTGAATGAGTTTTTGTTGTAGTCCCAAGTGTGAATTGGCAGCCTCAAGAGAGGCAAGTGATCTTTGTCAGCTGATAACCAGCTTCCTGAGAGGGCTGGAGATCCTCACCAACAGGAAACTGTTTCACACAGGGGCGTGTTTTTGGCCAGCTGAAAAACATCCTTGTGTGGACTTTAAGGAGGTATGAATAGGAGCCTAAAGCCACAGAGAGATCGCTTTGCATGGAAATGCTTTGCATCTCTTTGCTCCTAGAGAGAAAAGCTCCAGGGAGCTCTCTTTGTTGCTTCTGCTGAATTGTGCTATTTCTGCTGAACCCTGCGACTGCTGTGGCTGTACCTTGTTGCTGCTTTTGCTGTTGCTGCACCTTGTTGCTGCTTTTGCTGGTTTGCTGTTTGGCTGGACTGCTGGTATCTCGACGATGAAGAATGGAATCCCCCAAGGAACTACTTCTAAAAATGTCAACACTCTATTAATCTTCTTTCTCTCCTACCCGGGGTTGGAGTGTTGGAAGGGATTGAGATGGAGAAAGGGAGAAAGAGACATAAGGAACCCCAAGTCAAGTAGGTTTTAAAAAAAGTCAAAGCCTAAAATCTTTGGCCATTTTCTGGCTGTTGGGATCCGTAAGCAAGGGGCCAAGCATTTAGCCCAGGAACTTACACGCTGCGGGGGTGAGAACCAGGGTTAGGCAGAGGGCTTTTAGGGGTCATTTCATGGCCGCGGTCTGGTTCTTCACCTGGAAGGTTCAGCACCGTGTCAGGACTGGAGAATATCGCTCGCTTGCGGGGCGGCTTCATCCTCAGCTGGAGAGCTCTGGGGAGAGGGTTCCATGCTCCTGCTGCAACTCTCCAAACTGGAGCCAGCCAGCAGGGAGACAGGAGGGAGGCGTGGTGGCCAGTCCCGCTGGGGACCTGCACATCTGCGGGGCAGTCCAGGGCCTGCTCTGAGCCGCTTCCCGGCCCCTCCCACGCAGCTCACCTGAGAACGCGCTGCTCTTGGGTTTTCATCATCATCGGCTTCACAGCGTACCCTCCCCTCACTAGAGTGGACAGGATCATCTCAGGTACCAAAAAATGTCCCCCCTGTTACCTGCTTCAAGATCAAGAAAGAGCGCACGGCGCAGGTCCCACGTGCCGGGGCTCCAGGCCTCAGGCCTTCCAAGCGTGTTCATTCCGGAGGATTACCCATCAAAGCCCAACCCCAGGCGGACACGCGTCCGCGCGGGCATGCTGGCAGCACGTGTGCAGGATGGCGGCTCCGCGGAGATCTGAGCCGAGCTGACTGGCTGTCAGCTGCTCCGCATCTGGAGATCAAATATAAACTGCTGGCATCAAAAAAACCGTTCCGGTTGGTCCCTTGTCATGCCTGTTCTCCTGGTACCACGCCATCCTTTGTAGTGTGGCCCTAAAGCTCCTCCAGGCTGACAAAACTTCCAGCGGCCTCCACGCTGGGAGTCCGAGCCATCTGC